CACTGAGCTAAAAGGGTGTCTGGGGGCCATACTCGGGGTTTCTCCAGTCTCCTTTAGGCCAGTAAATCTGGTCTTTTTTTTGTGAGTTAGAATTATGTTCTACATCCTTCTCCAGCTCTGTCCAGAACCTCCTGTAGCTTTTTCAGAATTTTATTTGAATAGTACCTCTTTCATGCGTTGACTGTTTTATATTTTTTGTATACATTTTTGTGTGTTTAAAATGTACGTGTTTCCTAATATTCATTATTATCTTCCTTTGTAACATCTTGCATGTGGCTGATGTCTTCTGTTTACCTTATTGAGAAGCCACATATCTGCACTGTTACAAGATTAATTTTTCCATCTTTGGCCTCGTAGTGATTACTGTGAAGACTGGCCTGAAGCCCAGAGAATCTCGGCCTCACTCCTGGATAGCCGGTCCTATGAAACCCTCATGGACTTTGACAACCACCTGGATGACATTCGGAATGACTGGACAAACCCAGAAATCAATAAAGCTGTTCTCCACCTGTGTTAGGGAGGGAGTCCACTTACTAGTCTCTGGGCATTTCCACTACACTGGAGAAGAAAACTTTTTTTTTTAAATGTAAATAGAATATCACTTAGCCTGAGTGGAAAGCGGACAGTGTCGAGAAGTGGCTTGTGCCCTGAAAGAGGGCAGAATGTCTCCTCAGCTGTCTTTTTACTGCAGTCTCTAGAAGAGGCACAGAGGATCCAGTCTGACCTCCCTGTGGATTCCTTCCCAGTTGTATGTTGCTATAATCTTCCAAATCAAAGCTATTTCTGCTTGTCCAAGATTGTTCCTATTAAACAGTTTTAACTAACCTTTTATAATCTGGAGAGAATACTTTTTAAGGCCTATGAACTATCTTAAAAAAGAAAAAAACCTGCATCTTATACTCAAATGAGTGTGTTTGTGAGTTTTTATGCTGTCTGAGTCAATGCCATACCGTCCTGGGGCAGACATGCAACACTGGTACCATTAGACTGGTACCTAATGACAGAGCCTGTGTGCTGGGACTACAATAGTTGGGTAGGCTGCTGTGTCGGGTTCACATAGCTGCAGCAACTACACAGTGGGAATAAAATCACTGTTGCCTGAGAAACCTCCATAACTAAGGGGAAAGCAAACATCGTTTGTAATGGGAACTTGGATCAGAGCACATAATAATGCTTCTCTATCAACTGGAAAACTCGCAAACATTGCGGAATCAAGACAAGAAAAATGGAATTATACTGTGATTATATGCACTTTCTGCTTTCTTCAAAAAGCAAGAATCAGGCCTCCCAATTGACAACATGATCATCCACATGGTCCAAATCTATGTCTTCAAAACACTTGTTTCTTTTGTATTCAAAGCAACAAAATTTAGACTCCCCAAGTTGTACAGAGTAATGTCTGTAATTTTTATACTTAGAACATTTGGTCAAGTTCTCTAACCCAACGAATAGGGGAAAAAATTCAGACATTGCACACAGTAGATGTGCTTTATTCGGTCCACCAAATTCTCTCTTCCCATTTCTTCTTAGCCTTGACTTTTTAGGCTGACATTTCATGTGAGCATCAAGAAACCAGAACCTTGTGGACACAAAGAAGGGAGCCCTGTATCAGCACTGGTAATCTTTCACTCGCCTTGTCCCCAGATGCAAAGACCTTCACAGCTGGAGCATAGGAGGGTGGGTGATCAGGTGCCAAATGGGTCTGTGTGTGTCAGAAAAGGAGAAGAATAGTGCAGCGTTCACCATGCAAGGCTCTTCCTGGCACTAACAGGAACTTGTGCATCCTGCAGCTCGGGGCCCAGGGGAGCTGAAGAGCTGTTTGGGATCAAGTTAAGTGGAGACAAAGGCTAGCTTTTGGGGCAAATTAAAGATAAGGCCACCTTAAAACCCTGTGAGGTGGTTTTCCTGCAGTTTCACCTCTACAACTCTTGTTCTTTGATTCTCCCCCTGCCTTTCCTGGAATATGTGCTGTGTCCATTTTGAGTGTAGGCCTAAGCTTAAACCAGATACCTCTTCCCTGGCTTTCCTTTCTATGGCTGAGTCAGGCCTACATTTTCAAAAGATAGTGTACTAAATCCTCTGAGGGGAAGTGTGCATGTGTGAAAAATGAAATACAGATTTCCAAAGCATAGTTAACTCCTATGTCCTTTGTAAAAATAGCAGAAGCCTTTGCTGAGCCCCAGTCCCTCATGCTGGGCTTCCTTCCTCGGGGTGTCTGTGAGCCTCTCTGTGGCTCCTGAGATTGGATGTGGTATTCCCCACCCAGAATAAGTGTAATAGTGCAGTTACATAGCCATCTGAAATTTATTTATACTCCACCCTTTTATAGAAAAGATTTAAAGGAGCCACATAAAGTACATTTGTACATTGAAAAATCTTTTTCCATCAAAATGTTCTTAATTCTTTCGTGTGTATATGTGTCTAGGGAATTGTTTCTTACAGCCAGCCATATGTTTAAAATCATTTTGGTGGATATTTTTATCTTCCATAGTATCTCTCCATTAAAGGTGAGTAGGACAAATTATTAATTTATATAAAAATGTAATTCTCCATTTCTAATCACAGCTGCCCTCAAAGATTGAGGATATTAAATATAGGAAAGTAGGCAGTAACCTCATAAATAACAAAAAACAATGTACTTACTAAGGAAAAATTGACTTCGCTAATTCAATGAAATTAGATTGATTTAGAATAGAACACAATTTAGGAATCTTGGGTAATTTAAATTTTCAAGTCAGTTTTCCATCAATCTGGTATTTTTAAGCCTCCTTATAGGGTCACTATGAGTTGGAATTGACTCAATGGCAACAGGTTTGGTTTTTGTTTTTTTTAGTGTAAAAAGTCCTCGAGTAGTTAGATTTGATTTACTTTAAAAGCTTATTTTTCTGATTGATGTACTTGGAAACCCTGTTGTTTCTGCAAATAGTATTTCTCAGCTTGTCTGACCTACCTTTTTGTTCTGCCTTCAAAAGAAAAATACTGGCTTTGGGAATGGTCCCGTTTTGACATGTATATCTATCTCAGTAGCTACTTTATGACATCATGGTAAGTGGAAGCAAGAAAAATAGCTGTAGGCATTAATCCCTGTACCCTGCAGGCATTTTTAGCAAAGAGGGCTGAATTTAAAAATAGACTTCCGCTTTGCTAATTGACATTTCTTGAGGCTTTCTATCAACTCTCAATGCCTGTCAGCATTGAATTTTTTTTTTTTTTTTTCAGTAAAAAGCATGGCAGGAAATGTTAGTCTGTGCTCCTCCTGCCAGCTCTCAGGTGTATGGTGTGACACTGACTTAATTCCCATACATTTTGGAATCTGGGGAAGAACTTCAATATTTCTGTCCTCATAACATTAACTTGTTGCTCCTCAAAATGCTTAAAATAACCTTGAATGGGATGCTGAATCGTATCACTTTTGCTCTTTCTTAGAAATGAGTTGCTATTCTATGAGCTTTTTTTTCTCTTAAGGATTAACTCCTCAGGGTGAACATTTCCTTGCAAGACTCAGAAATGCTACAATTGGAAAAGTGATGTGAAGATTTTTCTTTATAAAATGAATGAGACCTAGTCCAGCTTTAGAACAGTTGTGTTCTCCTTGCTCTTTCACTTTCAAAGTGGTATGGCAAGTGCTAGCAAAAGATTCACCTAGATTTTACTAGAGAAAATCTTTAGCTCAAACCTGTGTTACCTTGTAAAATGGAATAGCATTCTAAAAAAAAAAAAAAAAAGTTGCTGTTGAACCAATTCCAACTCATGGCAACCCCATGTGTGTCAGAATAGAACTGTGGAGGTGGGGCCAAGATGGCAGAGTAGTCATCGACTTCTGGTGGTCCCTCTTAGAACAAAGACCTGAAAAAACAAGTGAATCGATTATGTATGACAATCTGGGAACCCTGAACATCAAAGGCAAAGTTGAGGAATCAGACCTTGTGGCACGGGGAGGGAGAGACGGTTCAGAAGCAGCAAGGAGTTGCCAGACCTGACCCGGCAGTAGCCGGAGCCTTTCAGGTCAGGCCAGATCAGCTCATGGTGTGCGGTGAGTCAAGTGGCAGTGCTCTGGAGGTGTTTTCTACATAGGGAGAGACCCAGTGACAGGGAGTCTACTTGGCCATCCAGAACCAGTGAGAAGCAGCCCTGGATCGGTGAAAGATAAGTACTTGCATATGGCCTACCACACGGATCAAAAATACTTTCCCATTTACCTCCCTGCTCCCTGCTCCCTGCTCTGCACTGGGTGTGGGACAGCTTCAGTGACTGCCAAGTCCCCAGGGCCAGAAGTAGAATCTGTCACATGCCCTGAGCCATTCTCCCAGCCTTGGAGAGGGAGCAAATAAACATACTGGGGAGAAAATAATCTGCCAGCTCCCCTAAGCCAGGAACTTAGGGTAGGCACAGCTTCTTTGCCTAGGCATAGGCATAAGGGGTCCACGGACTTTGAGTGCCTTTCCCCTTGCGTAGACTTGTGTGGGCCCATTTCAACAGCGTAGGCCTTCATTAGCACAGTACAACTGGGTATATACCTGAAATCTAACTTCAACTGTTTCAGCTGTGAAGTGACAGGTTCATGACGTTTGACACTGCTCTGCCCATTAAGCAGAGTCTTCACCTACCCACATCAGGGGCCTGAGGACTGGTGGCTCCACCCATGCCACCTAGCCACCTGCAACAGGGGCCCAAGAATAAGAGGTGCCTCCCAGTCCTTACAGCCAACAGCATCAGGTGCTCATAGTCCAACTGCAAAACCCACCCACCTACGCACTCTAGGGAAGAGGGATACACCTTCCTTCTGGACAAAAGGGGGCAGCCGTCGGCCCCCTGCCTTGCTTGGAGTGTGTCCCCCTGCTGCAGCCAGATGCCTATGCCTACACCAATCACCCATTCCTGTCTAGGACTGTAGGTGAGAGCCTGCACCACACACTTGGTGGCCAACTACCTGGACACCTGAGCTGAATCCATACAGGAGGAGTGGGTGGACTCCTGGGGTCACATACTTAGTGGCAGGTCTGGCCACATGGTGTCAGGACGTTGGAGCTTCAGGGGTGCTGGTGATCGGGCTAGCTCACACGAGCAGCCTATTTGGGCACATCCAAACAAGAAGCCAGGACACAGTAAACAAACATAAGATAAATATAATAACTTATTGATGGCTCAGAGACAACAGTCAATATCAAATCACATAAAGAGGCAGACTGTGATGGCTTCAGTAAGCTCCCAAAATAATCAAGAAATTTTCTGGAGGAAGAGAATTTCTTGGAATTACTAGAGGCAGAATACAAAAGATGAATATACAGAACTCTTCAAGAGATCAGGAAGGAAACTATGCAAAACACAGACCAAGCAATAGAGGAATTTAAGAAGATTAGAGAAGAGCATAATAAAATTTCAGAATTAGACAACTCAATAATAAGTCATAAGAGCAGACTTTAGGCAGTGGAAGTTAGAATTAGTGAGACTGAAGATAAAGCACTTGACACGAACTTATTTGAGGAAAAATCAGATAAAATAATTTAAAAAAATGAAGAAACCCTAAGAATTATGTGGGACTCTTATCAAGAGGAATAACCTATGAGTGATTGGAGTACCAGAACGGGGAGGGATAACAGAAGATATACAGAGAAATGTTGAAGATTTGTTGGCAGAAAACTTCCCTGGTATCGTGAAAGATACCTATCCAAGATGCTCATTGAACCGTACATAAGGTAGATCCCAAAAGAAAGTCACCAAGACATATTACAATCAAACTTGCCAAAGCCAAAGTTAAAGAGAGATTTTTAAGAGCGGCTAGGGATAAACAAAAAGTCATCTACAGAGGAGAGTCACTAAGAATAAGCTCAGACTACTCCGCAGAAACCGTGCAGGTAGGAAGGCAATGGGATAACATATATAAAGCCTTGAAGGAAAAAAATTTCCAGCCAAGAATTATATATCCAGCAAAACTGTCTCTCAACTATGATGGCGAAATTAGAGCATTTCCAGACAAACAGAGGTTTAGGGAATTTGCAAAAACCAAACCAAAAGAAATACTAAAGGGAGTCCACCAATTAGAAAATCAATAACATCAGATAACAAACCAAGACTAGAACACAGGACAGAGCAACCAGATATCAACCCAGATAGGTAAATTACAAAAATAAAAATCAAAGCTAAAACAGTGAAAATAGGGAAACAGAGATGTCAATATGTAAAAGATGACATTAAAACAAAAAAGAGGGACTAAAAAATGTAGACATAGATTTTTCATATGGAGAGGAAGTCAGGGTGATATTAAGAGAATAGAACTGTCCTCCACAGAGTTTTCAAAGGCTGATTTTTCAGAAGTAGATTGCCAGGTCTTTATTCCATATTCCGAGGCATGTCTGGGTTAACTTGAACCTCCAACCTTTCTGTTAACAGCTGAGTACCTTAACTGTTGCACCATCCAGGGACT